GGGGGGGGGGGGGGGGGGGAGGTTGAATTGAATGATCAATTATTAGAACCGGACTCGCCGACACTTGCTTCGCAAGTCAAACTCAAGGTATCCCCTAAAGGGCTACCTTTCGTGACATAACAAACACCAAATTATCCACGCTACTGTTCGGATGCTGCATACGGGGTAACTTGTGACTGTGAAGGCAAACAACCTCCGGGCCTAGGGTTGCTTCAGTTCCAAGTACCCTCCAACAGCTTCCAATGTCGGATCACTGGCAGCTAAAAGGCTATCTTTCCATTCGGCAGCCATCGAGTCGATGCCAATATTGTAGTTGCAAAGCTGTGTAGAGCCCATGTAAGCTGCAAAGTAGTCCCCCAAGATTTCTTTGAATTCACCTTGGTCCAGTTTCCAACGCCACACCAGGATGGATGGAAGAAGTCTGCAAGGTGATGAATGAATGCAAGAAATGCCCGAACTCGTCAGCAGGCGACTACAGTTTCATGTAACACATCTGCGAAAATACCTCTCAAGTCAATTCAAGCGCAGAACATCGCGTGACATCTCATTGCAAGTTCTATTATATATCACCATTGGTGCTACTGGAGGTCAACATAAGACGGATGTCAAACTGTCCCAAACGTCACAACCCGCTTCTGCCAACGCAACTGTTGTGCTTTCGAAAGCAACTGTTGTGCTGATGAGCCGAGGACCTGTGCTTTGATAGAAAGCCAGCAGCCAACATCCCCAAGGGCCCCCAACATCCCCAACCACCCTGTCTCTACCCACTCTGTAGTTTGGTAAGTACCCATCCAGCTCACCCTTCTCTCACCCAGTTGCCACTGCTAAAGCAGTACGTGCAAGTACCCATCCAGTTTCTCCAACCCCCTTTCTCATCCAGCTGCCACCGCTCAAACCGACCGCTCCCATGTAGTCCAAGCGGCAAATCATGTAGTCCACGGCCTCGGAGATATAACTTTCCAGCTTGTAGACGTTCCTGGCTGATCACCGGGTGTGTAAGACAATGTATCTACATGCAAACTACATGGTGACATATGCAGTCAAGGCCTCTCTCTCTCTCTTTCTCTCCCCATCGCCCTCTCCAAGAGTTAACCATTTGGCTAAGGCGAGATCAAGCCCCGGTCAGTAGTATTTTAATCCAATGCAGGACCCCTCAACCAAAGAAACCTAAAGAACTGCTTACATATATAAACATATTCTCTTTCAGTTTCTCTGAACATCAAAAGACTAACAAATAGTCCGTATATGAATCCCCTGTTTCTCCCGCGAACACGGATCGGTTCGCATGGCCATTCTAAAACCTCGAGCACTCCACACACACCGGGGGGTGTTGGCATCACACAGATCTGGTCTGTTCCACCAAAAGCCACAGGAGTGCAAGGATACCCCTCTCAGTGCGGGTTTTTGGTCGGCCACAGAGTGGCCGTTCTGAACTGCCACGAGGAGGTCTCCGGCTCACCACCGAGGTTCCAAGCTGCGCTGTCGGGTTCCCCGGCTTCCATCACGCCCAGGACACCATCCATGACGCCCGCGCCCACGTAGCCCCAGCCGGACATGGTGATGAACCCGTTGTCAATGAACTTGCTCCGAAACGCGGACCTGGCGGGAAACCGACGGAGTTCGTGCGACCATCCCATCGGTATATTTATATGTTTGTGCATATCGATATCTTCTATATAATATTAATCTACCATCGCCATCAAAATGTTGGATGTTGACTCGGAAGTGAACCAGGGTCTGAATTGATGCTCGCTGGCACAGGCCAGCGAGGACGTCCTAAGCACCTCCTAAGCATGTTCCTCCTGAGCATCTGAGCGATCTAATGATGCAGTGACACATCCACAGCTTCTTCAGCCACCTTCAAAGTTCTTGAGCCCAGCATTGCCCCGCTGTCCAAGCTTGAATGCGAAGCAAATCCTCCTCCCCTGGGGCCTATGATGAACAAGAAGGTGATGCGGATTAGAATAGGAAGAGCATTGCCTGACCCAATGTTAAGATGTTCCAATATTGAATTGTTAAAGGCAAAGCCACAGGCGTACCCAAACAATCCCGTATTCACACTGCCTTCTGCGAACCCCCTTCTACGAACTTCTGTGAAGGCAAATGGGTTTGCATGAACCCTCGGGCAGCACAAGAAGTCTTCTACGACCCCCACAGGGTCGGCACGAACCCCACATGGGTCGGCACGAACCCCCTATAAAGACCTCCACGTTTCGCTCTGCGAACGGCAATCCAGTCCACATAATTCCGTTCGTTTTGCCGTAAGTTGTTCTTTTCTTCGACCAGGTCTACCGCAAGGTCTCCCAGGTCAAAAAGTGCACATGTGGCTGTGAAAGCCCCGTCGCCAAGCCACATGCCACCTTCCGCGATGGCGGTAATCGCGCCCGCGGTGTCATAGCTGCCATCAGGCTTTTCGGGTCGGGGCCTCTTTCCGGCACAAGGATTGCCTGGGAGCGGCCAAATCGGACGGACGGGGGCGTGTAGATGTAGGGCCTACGCCGTACATGAAGCTGGAATCGTTAGGGGGGTCTTTGGGTGCAAATGAGGTGGTCTTTGGAGTGACGGGCTGCTCAAACTCCCTCAGGTCCTTCCATAGCCCCGGCAGGGGAAGGTGTTTGGAGGGAAGTTGTGAGCCACGCACAAGCACCACTGTTGCCTCAGCAGTTCAGTCACAGGGATGCACAGGGAAATTTCCACCCAAATGACGGTCTTGGAAAAAGTCCATGATGCATATTGTGTCAGTGACAGTGATCACAGTGATGCGTCGATGAGTAGGGTTCCATCTTCACTCGGGACCTGCGCCATCTTGTCCATTCGATAGAGTCTAATTAGAGTCTAATTATCATGAAAAACATCATGATGGCCTCATGTCAGCCCTGGCTACGGTACATATATATCAAAGTACTTTGATTGCTGTATATATATAATATTTACTAGCTGTAATTCTCACACAACGAAGAATGTGCACATCACGAAACACACTGCGACGCACCCTTCTCTGCAAGGTATAGTCTACCATGAAGTTCCACTTTTCTATACCTGCCCACTTCGGGAAAAAAGAACAAATAACACATCCAAGTGGATCCGAGTGGCATTTATCCGTGTCCTTTTGGCAATACATGCCATCGGTGTTATGATGGGGCTGGCTGCCGCTGCACCAGTCTGGCCCAACATTACGCCGCCGTGAGGTACACCAGTCGACCCTCCCTCAGCTCCGCAGCGAAAAGCGTAGAGCTAAGTGCTGCAAAACGAAACCTCGTGGGGGGAAGGTGGATTTTCTCGTCCAAATGTCTCTTGAACTTGTTGCTTTGAATGCTTTTGATTGCAAGAAACTGAAGGACATTGAGATGGATGGATTCGAATCACCCGATTCCTTCCTTCGAAACATCGGAGACGTGGTTTTACGTTACGGGCTTCGCCGGCCTCCACCCCCGGATTCGACGAAGACGACGTGTGGACCTCCCGTGGTGGCGGTGGACTTTTACAGCCAAAGGATGAGCAGGCTTTGCCAACCCCTGAGAACCAAAAACAATACAGAACAGGCTACCACCAGCGTGCGCAATACAGTGTCTTTGTGAGCATCTGTCAGCTGTGAGCATCTGTGAGCATCTGCTTCAAGACTGTCGACCGCCCGCGTGGCTCAGGTGTTTTTCCTCTCAGAATTCGTAGAGAAGGACAAGCATGGACAACCACCCGTAATTGTTTAAAGGAGTCTCGGACGAGATTTCTCCACAATCTATACTATCCTAATTCTGGCTACAGTTGCCGGATGTGCTCCGTGTTCGCTGTCACACAGCGCTCCGCTCCTGGACTTTGACGCGCCCGATCCGGCGCAAAGCCGACCTGGTCCTGGCTCGGCCTTTTTGTTGTTAGTTTTGGACGGACCCTGACCTGCGAGCCGCTCCTGCTGAGCGCTTGCGATTGCCCGCCCGAGATATACTATCCTAATTCTAATATATTCTAATCTATACCTCTTGTAGCCGAAGCAGGGAATCTTAGAACCAAAGAAGCACGTAAAAAGGGTTCTACCTTCCAACCGGTGTTGGAACCTGAACCCCGCACAGATTGCGGAGCCCCTACTCACACCCCTGGTCAGTGACCGGTTGACCTCCCAGGTAGTGTATTTGGTTCATGTTCGGTGGGAAAAGCCAGGGTGTCATGATCCACAGCCAGATCCTGTCCTTGAAATTCAATCGGCTGACCCTCAACATCTGGTGAAAAGGGATGTACGATGATACACGGTCTTTGGATCCTGCAGATCCTTCTCCAAGAGGGCTGACGATGGCACAAGTAAATGACCACAGACATCCACAGACTGAAACCCATGGAACGGTATAAACCGAATACTTATGCTTGCGCCATGCGCACATGATGACCTACAAAAACGGACCATTCTTAGACACTCATCCTGATCGGGCACTCCAAACAGCGCAGTTCCGATTAGAGAAGTGGTCCTCTCAGTGGAGGGCCTTTGGTAAAGCAGCAGCTGCTGTGAAAATACATACTAGGTGATCGCATATATAATGGGTCATAATGATACAATTCCTAATCATATACAAATATAGTGATGCCCAATAGAAACAGTTTCCAATACATTCAACGGGGGGGCTGTTCTATGTATTTTCAGACCAAACCCTTGAATTTTCAAGGGTTCTGAAGGACAAGGTAATATATATATTATAATATAATATAATAGTATATTATAATATAGTGCATGGCAATCGCCAGGATGCTTCATTTCCTGTTGCCCCAGGAAGTTGCTACACCAAACCACCAGGAGGTGGCTGGCCTTCCAGGTGGGGTCCTGAGATCATCTCGCCCGCGGTCGCCGGCTGGACTGGCGACCCCAACCGCCCACCTTGGCCGTGCCCAGCGGCATTTCTTCGTCCATGTCGGACATCAGGTCTGCCTCTTCCTCAGCGAGTGGGCACTCTTGAATGAAGATGTCAAGCAACCCTTTGGACGAATCAAAAATGGGTCTCTCTTGACAGCTTCTTGACGTGACGGTTTTCGAGGGGGCCCCTCACTTGTGAAGACGATCCGAGCCCAGGCGCCAGCTCTCCACTGCGGTTCTGCCTTGCGCGCAAGCTCAGGAGACATTGCTCCTCCCGGTGTCCAGACTTGGAGGGAGAAGACGTCTCCGAAAGCGTGGAATACAGGGCCGCAGTCCAAAGGAGGCGGAAAGCCATGGCTCCGGGGTGGGATGTGAGCCAACTTGACTGCAGAAAAGGGGTCTATAGAATCTCATAGACGTATACAGGCACAAATCCACTATGCGCATGAATCATCTTCTATGTAGGCGTTGGGCTTCTGAAGCCTGAGCGAGAGACCTATATCGAATCATTGCCAATTCAATATCGAAACTGTGGTGACAAAAAACACAAAATTGTGGGCCTCTTCCAAAGCTCCTTGGCCACACCAGCAGTGCTTCACCACTTCTTTGCCACTCGCCACGGTGAGCGCCTGGTGAGGAAGCCTCGTCGGTCATCAGCCCGAAAGCGTTCAAATACCTGGCGTTTCGCTCCAGGTTCCAACGAGGATCCGGTTCCAAGCAGGATGAAACGGAAGAAGCTGGGCCATCCACTTCGGCAGGATGGCAATGGGCACTTTCTCTTCGGCATTTTGCTAGCATATGTCATGTGAAGTCATGGTGGTTTTCTCTGCTCAAATCCATTGGTTTGCGGGTCTCTTTTAAATACACTTCGGTCGAGTGTGTCTATATACATTGACGCACCCACTTGCCGTGCTTTGTCAATGTCAGTGGGTACAAAGCCCCCCCCTGTGAACCACAGATATATATATATAATTATATATATCCCGTGAACCATTTGAATCACCACGGAGAGAAAAGGCGACAAAAGAAAGTAGGGGCCTCCCCCGTTCCGTGGGAAGCTGTAAGGATCAGCTACCTTTTGAACGGGTAGCCCAACCTTTGAGGCCGAATGGAGAAAATATGCCCATCGGGAGTCTGAAGGGACCTCCATATACGTCAAAATACCAACGGCATCGCTACTAGGAGCAAGAAGCTATACTACCGTAGATGGACGAAATATTCAAACCCTGTCAACCACGAGGACCCCTTCTACCCCAAAGCTCAATGTTAGAGGTCTTGCAAGAATGTTTCGGCGAATGGACGAAACAAATCAAACCCTGGAAACACAAATTCAATCAAGTTATGTTCAACATTGACCTTTGGGGG